ACAAATAGATTCCAAGTTGCCGTGCGTCTGTTCAGTAAGAGATCACAGAGGACGCCAAAATGTGGTTGATCTCTTACTGAACAGACGCACGGCAACTTGAAATCTATTTGTTAAACAGAGCACAGTCAAGGCTTCTCTGTTTGTTAAATCAAGCAGACAGTTGACGAGAGTTAAAGATAATACATATTGAGGGATTGTAAGACTTATAAGTTGATCTAATACCAAATTCTCTGAACTGGCAGACAGTAAGGAAAATTACTGATGACATCTTGAGAGTGCAAGTGGTAAGCGTGAAGCTTAAGAGATTCTTTCATTCAGAAATCATGACACCTTCCTTATGTACACAACAAGCACAAATTTTTATCATTTCGATTGCGTTTTGTCGACATTGTCAAACTGATTGTTAGTTCACTTCATTCCCACCATGTCTTTCGAATTTTCTTGTATCGCGCTAATGGTCTCCGATTTTGATATCAGTGTGACATTAGTGCTGTTCCCACATTTTAAGTTGCCTTTGGCTTGTTAGCTCTTCTAGGTTGACTTTAGATGGCAAACTGTTGTATATGCCATGAATGACAGTCTTTTGTGCTCCCTTATCGCCATATAGAAGGTTTATATAAATTCAATTCAACTAAATTCACCTACCTTGTCCTTAGCACTGCGTTGAAAAGTTGATCTGTTGAACTGTTAGCGGAAAGCGTTTAGCTGAAATTCGAGACTGTTCTTGAAACACTGATAAAATTGCAGTTTTCTTTTGCATAAAATTCTGCCACTATTAGCAAACTTTATCTACAGCCAGATGGATCTTGTGTAATCTTTGCAGAGCGGCAAGACAGTCTTGCTAAGAGTTTTGGATTTACTTTTGTGAATAACTCAAGCCCATGGCGGAAGTCTCGGCCATTTGTTGAAACAGTGAAATACAACCTTCCTCAATTAAGCGTTTGGTTTGCAACGTGGGCGGGTAAGCAGGTTGTCAGCTGTATTTTTTCATTTTGAGCGAAACAACCGAAATTTTTTTAGCTCCCTGTAGGTTAATGCACTATAGAAAGACGATTATTTTTTAATTTATGAATTGGTTAATTTGGTAGTTGGCTTAAGGAAAAATCTCTGTGTGATACCTTTGGCTCTGAAATTGTTGAAATACAGTCTCCTTAAGAAAAACGTTTGCGGTTATTTGCAAAGAAGTGACAATTACAGACACAGTGTCAAACTGTACGGGAAATAATTAAAATCCTCGTCAAACTGTGTTGATGTTTCTGGCAAGAAGACTGATTGCTTTTGGAGCTGCGACGGACGCATCTCGCAGAAGAGAAATGAATTGTTTATTCTGTGCGATCTCTTGCTGTGCTTACTGTGAGTGCAGGTAGCCATAAAACGAATTTAAAAAGAAACGCCTTTTTAACACCTGTGGTCTAAAAACCTTAAATTGAATGAAAAAAATTATTGAAAAAAACTTGTGTTGTCACCTCTGAAATGCTCTTTTGGAAAGTAAGGATATGATTCTTAGTAGGTAAAATTGTGCAAGGACGTTTTGTTTATAAACTTCTGGTAAGAAGCATGGAAGACTCGAATCCAATGAGGCGGCTGGTGGTATTTCGTGATTTAGTTTTGGAACAAATAAAAAAAAAAAACCATTTTTCTACAACATTAAATTACTTAGCACTTAATCCTAGCCCTTGTGGCGCTCCGGCCCTAAAATGGTCATAAAAAAGATATTTAGTATCGCAGCTGCAAAAACAAACAGATCGCAAAAAACGTCTATACCTTTTCATGTTTAAAAACAAAACCTAAATTGGTCACCTGACTCAGTATTGACTCACTATATTGTACCCTGTTTACTTTTCAGTAAATGCCAATGGTAGTTAATGAGTTCTTTCATTCAACCCCACGTGGTGGCTCAATGGCGTTCGAAAACAGAAACGAAAAACTTACTCAAAAATGGATGTCATAGTGGCTATTTAAGTCAAACCAACTCTCAATTGGCTTGCGGCTCAATACGAGTGGAGTTTGGACTGTCGTGTCGTATTTTGTCTTTTTCTCTGAGCCACAGAGCTACTCGCCAAAAAAATCTAAAAATAATGAACTTTTCTAAGGGAGGGATCGAGTTTTCCTTACAAGTGACTCAAATCATCAGGACTCGGGAACAAATGAATGGGCTTTTTCCGTTACGGGACGCGCCTGTCTGCAGTTATCAAATCCGAGTGTTCGAACTATCCTACCATTATGATCTAATAAAATATTTTCAACGCAGTGAACTTAACACTGAGTCTCGGGTAAGTGAAACAAAACATACGTGCCAGTCCTGCTGAAGGCAGCGCTCACGTCGATCGGAGTAAATCGGCGCTGTTTGCTGTCTTGATGGAACACAGCAGATAGACACGGAAGTAAGCAAACTACACCTGCTCAGTCGCCATCATGGACTCCTTTTATTTCGCCGACGAGGGGCTAAATCACAAAACAAACAAGAAAAGAAAAAACTGTATCGTGCCAAATAAGTGTGAAACAACATGAATTGAAGAGGAAACGGTAACAGGCACACTTTTGTAAACCAATATTCTGTACGTGATGAGAATTTAATATCATGCTAGACAACAGACGCTTTTATTATTATTTCAAACGTCAAGAAGCCGACGTTTTGACTTTGTTTATATTTTCTGTTCTATCGTCCTCTATTAAGACTCACGCATGTTAGCAAGAGTTCCTTTCAAAATGCACTATGTAAGAATTTCGCTCAGAGACCTTATCGGTCATTATTTTCGCCGGGGGAGGAGGGGTGGGGCGGAGAATTTTGCTTGTGTCACGGTAAAACTATAAAATTTACCTAATCTCCTCGTAAGGCTCTGTAATATTCTTACGATTCCTTTCTCTCAATGGCTGTCAATGGCAGTAAGTTTTCTACAGTTGACCCTTCATAATCTGTTGGCGATCACTGGTTCCCCTTCGTTTCCCCTGAAAACAACGTGATCGGGCCCCAAAATCCTTCACCTCGATGTTGGCAAGAGTTCCGTTAAATTAAAATGCACTCGCTAATTGACCGACCACTGTTTATCTGTTTATCACTTAGGAAGAGAAAGAGGGGGAGGGGGGTGGGGGATTCGGAGAGTTTTGGTCATGTCACCATAACTTGTACTTTACCCTCCCAGAAGCCTCTGTAGTAGTAATGATCTCCCCTCATTGGCAGTTAATTTTCTATAGTTCCTTCTTTATTCTTTATTGACGATTGACGACGACTCACCATGTGGTCCCCCCCTACAAAATCCTTCAACTCCCCCGTCCCCCTCCGGGCGATATAATGACTAAACTCTTCAAAATATCCTTAGGACTCCCTTTGTAGGAAGTCATTACCCAACCATACTTCAATGTTTCAAGTTGTAAGTTTTTCCTTGACAGTTTTCTTTGTTCAAGAATGACAACTTCGAAATTTCATACTTTCTAATCTGCACCATTGAGATGCATTGTCAATAACTATTTCCTACTGTCCCCAGCTTGTGCCTTCTGCCGGGTTGTATCTTTGGTCAGCGGCTTACCACCCGGAAATTCCAAGGGCTCTCGCAGCGTGAGGGAGGGAGGACCTTCAACTTGTTATGGCTTATTGGAAGGATTGGGAAGGATTGGTGCTAATGTTTTGATCTATTCTATAAATTAAAACCCGGGGAATTCGTAGTTCCTTGTAGAAATGACTGTCTGGAAAGCACTCGAGACTCCACAACTCGGAGTAGGTAGGTAAAAAGGCCAGTTTCGTGCTGAACGATCGTGATTTCCTCAGCCATGAGTGATGTGTCCTTATAGCTGTGAAGATAGATGTCGATGTCCCTTACAATCCATATCTTTTATTTTGATTAATTTTTAGCTATTTACAATTTCCATGGAAAAGGATTATATCAGCTCAAGCTTCAGCTTGGTGAGACTGTTCAGATCCTAGAGGAAAGTCCAGGTGAAGATTTTGGTTTCTGACATCCCATTGTGCACGTTATCGAAAGTATAAGATAGTGCAATAACTGGTAAAAATCACGGAAATTCCTGAACTTGAATTTCTTAGATGCGCCTCACACATTTATCACTTCATTTTTCAATGAAGAAAATGGCTAAGGATTTCGAAACCTAAACAAAAATGATTAACATGACACCTTGCATCGCTAACAGATCTGTTACAAATATTCATTTTCCATTTCCTTAGTAGGGAGGGGGTGGGGGAGGGGTATAAAGGTAAAGTCTGTTTGGAGCTAAATTTTTCTGAAGGTTGGGTGAGCTAATGAAAATAATTTACAAGGGAAACAGTTAACAGTGAAAGTACATTTTAAACAAAGAGATCTTGAACATTTCCTTTTTCAAATAGTTGAAGGTGAGAAGATTGAATTGTTGTGTGAAACTTTATAAGTTTAAAAAATTCATAGAAGATCCTTAAATTTCTGGCTAGGTAGGCTGAGAGAAAGGGTCCTGGCTAGCCAATTTTTAGTGCATGAATTTCACACTTGATATCATCTATAATTCTAGAAATGTTCTCATCACTTTTGTAATATGGCAAAGAAGATCTTGCATTGACTACACATATGATATGACATATCTGGCTGAAACATATTCTTCCCCAAGGGCAATAGGGTACCCTAAGGTATAACTTCCAAGGGTAGATAACTAGATGGTACCTAATTTTGAGCACTGATACATCTTGGATAGAAGATTATTGTATATGTAAAGATATAAAGTAGTGGTCAGCTGCCTATACAGTCTACAATAGTGTTGCTTTTTGGGGTCAAGTGCATATTGAAATGAATCGTATCCAACATGATATATTTTTATGTACTCAGGATGGTACAGAGGATTTTCATTAAGGAACAAAGCTGCTAAGGTCTGTTGTAATAGTTAACAGTTTTTTAATGTGTGATAATTCCACTGGGGAGAAACACATAAATTGTGTCCTTTTGAATTGTCTGCAGTCATAAATATTGCATCATATCCTTTGCTTTCAATGCCTTTTTTGGCAATATCCAGTACATTACAACATTGAGGAAGAAGTATGGGGACTGTTCTGACAGTCTTCCTAACAGCCTCAAAATCAGTAAAATTGATTAATAAACCCCTTTAAATGCTGAAGGAACAATATAACTTCAGTTCAACTAAAAAATCTCATATCCACTTTTTTTTGAACACGTGACAAAAAATATCACATCTTTAAATTTAAACAATTTGAATTAGCCAATGAGCTGGCACCTGAAATTGAACAATAAAAATGAAACAAACTTTGAAATTGTGCATGCCAGGGTATAAATGCCAACTGAGTTCTTTCTTAGTTTTTAATCAATTCCACAAATGCAAAAAAGGTTGGAACAGGGACTATAATTTATGCTTTTATACAAATGCATTTGTTAGTAAAATTTTCCTTTTTTATCCTAGGGAATCTTCCCAATCTCCTATATTTATATCAAGGATGCTAAAGATGAATCCTCAAGGTATTGTTTTGTGTTGTAGAATAACTAAGATGCTACAAGGGTACTGGTTGGTCAAATACAGCTGTACTACAAACTTCTGATCACTATATAATTTTATTTTTCAGTGGCACAGAAAGTGTTTTTAAGGAAGAGGCTCTGGTTGAAGAATTGACTTCAGTTCTGCGAGAATGGGGAGCCATGTGGAAACAAGTCTATTTGGTAATTTGTGATAAATATGGTATTTCTTTAAAAAGGTAAAAAAGGGTAGAGTGTTTAATTGAGCCAAATGGCCCATCAGACTGGACATTATCCAGGTTTTCTTATTGTAAAGTGACAAGGAGGAATTCACTCCTTGTGCATGGAATGCTAGTCCATTGTAAGGTGACCCTCTAGCATTTCATGAGGTTTCCCTGAGAATTTGCTAGTACCCATTTATACTCTTGGGTTGAGAGAGGTACTGTGAGATTAAAATGTTTTACCTAGTAAGAACACAACATGATGTCTCAGCCAGGTCTTGAATCCAGACCTCTCCATGCAGAGTCCAGTTGCTAATTGATATTAATTATACCCAACTTTTTGTAATACAATATTGTGGTTTTTTTTTTTGTACTATTCTTGTTGTGAAATCTCTTCTTGGAATTTAAATTGCAGAGAAAGGAAGACAGGCTTTTTCATGAAGTGAGAAACCTGATGTTGGAATTAATGGACTGGAGAAAACAAATCTTAGCTAAGGCACTTCCAAAGGTATATAATCATACTTCAGGGTAGTGAGTGCTTACAATATTCCTGTATAGCAATTAAAATGCTTTTTCATCTTCCAGGATCAGTTGAGACAATTAAAGCAAAGAGTTACTCAAACAATAGATTATGGAAACAGGTTTGTGGATCGTGTGATGATTCTTTATGTGGGGGATAAGATTTATCATTTGGTTTTCTTGGATAAGACACTTTCTATACTTGTAAGTTTAATCAACTATTGCATGACTCCTTACTTGAAAAGTTGAAATAATCATAAAATAATTAGCAAATAGTCAGGTTGCATCCCCAGACACATTTGTTGGGATACGTAGTACATCCCTGCCCCTGGTATTCCGCCATCCAGGAGGAGGTCTCGGAAAGCCTTGGGAGCTGAATGAGTCAAACTACATAATCCATAACAAGGTTGTTCAGACTTAACATTGCTTGTACACTGTTATATTTTTCCTGTTTCACAGGACATTAGGCTTGGATCTTGTGGTACGTGATCCTGAGGGCAATATAATTGATCCTGATTCAACAGGAGCCATTCAACTTTATAGACGGGTAAGTTATTGGCCAGTTATTCAGCAAAAAATTTGTCATGTTCTGATACCTCAATGCTGCCAATTGGCACAGAGCCCAGTTTAAAGGACAACTGAAATGCTTTTGGTTTACTATATACATGATTATAAATCCCTGTAGATATTAAGCAATTATTGGATGAGGTTGAGCATGATGTCATGAATTGTCAGTGCCAAGGTCTGAGTCATCTGCTAAAGCTAAAGACTGAGGCAGGTACACACAGATACAGGGTTTGATAATTAATGGTATTATGAGAAAACTGAATTCAATTACTGTTTTACTGCACTTGTTTTAAACAATTTGCATTCAACTTCACATACCATTGTATACTATTAAACTTAAGACTTCAAATGAAAACTCTGATTGGTCTACAGTATAAAGTCAATATACAATGGTGTGTGAAGTTGACATGATAACCCAATTTCTGGTGCAGATATTTAGTTATCATGTCAAGTTCAAAGTCCATCTAGTTTCCAAGCCCCTTGTCTATGTAGTGTGACAACACTATGTAGATAGTGTCTTCTTTTGCATATTGTTTAAAAAAATATATAATAAAACAATTATTGAATTTAGCTTTCACATGATATCATGAATTATGAAACCTTGTTTTATACCTTGCATTGATAATTCATGATATCATGCTTAACCTCATCCAATAATTGCCTAGTGACTGTATGCTCTTTACCGATCAGAGTTTTCATAGTTGGTCTAATATATATTAGAGAAATTACATCAAAGATTAGCAGTGAAAAGGCACAACTGGTGGACTTGCTAAAAGGCTTGAGTTAGCAAAATTAACAAACCTCACTGGCTCTCTCTCTGATTTATGGATTCTCATTGCATAACTATATTAGTTAAATCATTAAATACAGAATACTTTGATCTACATTGGATTCAGTGCAAACAAATCACGCAGAGGTGAGTGTTAGTTAAATAGTGGCAAATGCTAGTAGTGTTATTGAAATAGCAGATGTCCTGATTCAAAGTAATGGACCTTTCAATTGATTTTTTTTAGCATATCAGCACCTCAAACAGAATAAAGTCTTCGGTAAGTTTTGAATCTGAAGTCACTGTAACGGAGACAAAAATAGTTTTTTCAAATGATTAAACCTTGCTTCCACATGGAATATTTGTTAGAAACCCAACATAGCATGACCATTTATTTCATTCTACCCCATTCCAGATTGCATACTGTAGTTGATGTAAACTCGAGGCTGCGCTGATTATTGTTGTTGTTTTTTTTTGGTAGTCAATAGCTGAATCACCAAAGAAAGAAGTTGCATTTTACACAACATATAGTGTTTTTGCCAACGTTAAGGCTGTGGTGTGCAACATCACTGATGATTCACAGCTGTTTCTCTCACTCTACGATGCAAAAGAAGAACGCTTCATAAGGTGAGAACCTTTCTGTGGTGAACCAAATTGATTATTAGTGACTTAAAAAGCATTTAAATGTACTGGATAGGGCAGTAAGAAACATTTCAACTGTAGATTTCAATGTGCATCACTTTGTATAATTTGTGAGTTCTTGTGTAAGATTGAAAGTTGCAGATTAATTCAAAAATTTTTTCCCTTTTTTACCTTTTAAATTATGTATTTAGAAAAGAGATTTTTCAACACTTTTGTTTTGAAACAGTGAGCAGTACTTGGTGTCTTTGGATAAAGCAGGAGTACCAAAAGATCTTGAAAGATTCCACAACCTCACTGTACTGTTCACAGTAAGTCAAACCACTACAAGTCTGATTTAGGAGCTTTTATTCAATTTATTTCAAAGTTTGGTAAATTTATTTATCCATGTGGGTCTATTGTCATGTTATTAATTAAAAGATTGAGAAATGAGAAAAAAAAACTAGTATTATTTTAAATTTATTTTAGACAACAAAAAAAACTACTAAAATACTCATAAGTGCTGTATCTTTAACTGAGTTTCCGACTGAAGTTATTTCAAACTTCAGATTTACTATTTTAAATTGCAGATTGAAATTACTTAGAAACTGTGGAGCTGGATTGGTAGGGGGGGTGGGGTTTGGAGGAGGGGGTGTTGGTTTTTTTCCACTGAGTTCACGTGATAATGTAGATTGGCAACCATATAGAGTTTCTAAAGCTGATATTTTGAGTGTCATCCCTTTGTCAGAGTAAATGACAGATTCATTCACTTTGGAAACATCAACCAATTTATATTTATCAAGTAAACTCAGTTGATCAAACCAAATTATACTGTTAATGAAGTTTGGGTTGTAACTTCTTGGCTTAGAGATTGTGATAAAACAAAGGGAAACAAAGGGAAACAAAGGGAAACAAAGGGAAATTCAAATCAAACTAGTATGAAATTATTAACCTAAGATGAAATAGATTGTGAAGACAAATTAAATTAAATTTTTCCTCTTTTGTTCTTAGGATTTAGGAGCAAAGGACTTAAAACGTGAACCAGTTTATATTGTTTGCCAGATTGTCAGAGTTGGTTAGTGTTTGTTATCAACAATTTATATTGAGAGGATTTTTGTTAACAATAACTACAGTACCATGTATTTTCTAGGGCTAAGGACAAATTGTGTAGCTTGTATAATTGTACAGAAGGAAAGTTTTGACAACTTGATACAGTGGATGGAAGGGGATGTAAGGGGAAAATTGGGAAGTTAAAAAAAGGGATGGTGACCAGATTATTGAAGGGTTAGTGGTGTTTTGCTCTATTACTCTGGTTCTATAGGTCAACTGAAGATGACAGAGGTAAATTAGGAGGGAATTAGCCATTCAACTTGGGTTCTAGCACTATCTACTTTTCAGCAACATGCATATGGTTTACTTAAAAAAAAAAACAAAAAAAAAAAACAATGACAACAAAAAAAGAGGAAAACTTATTATTGTGCAAAGGAACCCTTATTATGACCTTCAAACAAAGAATTTCCAAGTCTGTATATCTGACTTTTTTTGTGTTTTTGCAGGACGTATGGATATCAAAGAAACTGACAGCAAGAGGCTCACACACAATCTGAGAAGACCATTTGGCATAGGGTGTAAGTTATGTATTCAACACACTTTAACATTGTGTCCATAAAGTAGCCATGTACAGCTGTAGCAGTATAATATACTGTCACATGGTGGCTGAATTCCAATGTTGTTGGCCTTGAAACCAGGTTAATTAATGAGTGATTATTACTTATTTCATGAAATTCATGTTGAATCCTTCAGTATTGAACATTGAGGACTTGTTTAAAGGCACTGCCCAATATGACGAAGAAAAAGAACATTTCCTTCAACTACTTCTGTAAGTGTGATTGTTCTTCGCCTCCTTTGTAGTTTTGGCAGGAAATGTTTGCAAAAAGTTAAATCTCTTCAACTGAAAATTAAGAACACTGTGGATCACTCTATGGTCTTTTAAAATTTGCTTATTATTACCTCCCACACTGTTGATGCTTTACTAATTATTTCTCTGTAAGGTATACATGTAGTTGCCAATATTTCAATTAAGTACATTGTAAGTTTTCAGAAAACATTTGCAAGTTACTTATTTTTACCAAATGATTTTCAGCCTTCCAGATAATCAATCATTTTCATTTAATTCTTGGATAAAGCGCATGACTTCTCAGCCACAAGAAGGCCTAAAAGGACAAGGTATCCACTGCCTCAATAGAGGTTCCTTAATTTTTAACGGTTTTTGAATGCATAATCATGGAATATTATTAACCACTTATGATATTGTAAGAACTGTTATTTAAGCTATCCAAAACTTATAGAAGACTAAATATTCAATTGAATTTGACTTTTGTTTTATTCTGACCTTTACACATTTTCTTTTTTAAGGAATTTGCATCTCTTTAAAACTTATGGCAGGAGATATTGAACAGGTAAGAAGATCAGGGGAAGTGTTACCGGGAAATAGAGATACAGCATATACATTTAGAATTTGAAAAAAAATTTATTAGTTTCTTAAGATGCCTTTGCCATGTTGACTGACAAAGTTCCTTTACTGGAAAGATGAACCCTCTAAAATTTTCCTTTTTCTCAATGTGTGGCCTAGCTTAGTTTGTAGTTGTCCTAAACTAACTTGTAAAAGACACTGGTTCAAATCTTGTCAAAGCTTGAATTTTTTATGCTTCTTTTCTGCAATTACATAAAATATGGCACATCTGCAAGGATCATTTTTTTGATTTCCAAAGAACACCATTGTAACAAAATTTTCTTGCCTTTGTTACAGGCACATATCTTTATGTGACCTTTTAGGTCACATAAAGATATGTATATAAAGATATTTAGTTCTCTCATGTTGTGTATTTGCAATATTCCATCGATCATGACACTATGTCTTTTCCCCTGTCATCTTGCAGTTCATTTTCATGGAGTCTTTTAATAAGATATTTTGTCGCAAACTTTTGCAATGTTTTGGAAAAACACTTGTGAATATTGGAGCAAATAATCATGAATGATGATGTTCTTTTAGATAAGGGAAGAATATCCACTTCTTGTAAACAAACAAACAGCTGTTGCTCGAAAACATGGTTTTCCTGAGGTTATCATGCCAGGTGAGAATTTGCTATAAACTCTTGTTGATATTGTTCCAATGAGACCTCACTTCACCAATGGCTTTTTACTTCCAGAGATCTGATTGTCAATTCTCCCCTTCAGCTAGTACACATTTCCTTGTAAATTAGTTACAAGAATTTGGTGGTATATCAAGACAACCATCTCTTCTTGATAAGTTAGAGTATTCTCATTACCTTTTTGCTAGAAAACATGTGGATATTATGGGGAGAAGTGGCATTTTAATCACTTCTGGGTGTTAAAGGGTTAAACTAATGTGATAGATACAAGCATGAAGCAATTGAAGGTAATAACTGTTAGAACTAGACTTTATAAAGGCCCCATGCTCCTTCCTGAAGACATGGTAGTACACATGAGGAAGCTATTATGAACTAGAGAAGAGCAATCTTGACAGAGAGGTACATAACAAGACTGTGCTAATTTGTTCAAATTAATTTAATTATTAATGTCTTTGGAATATGCTCCATGTTAAATGTCTGCTTCATACAGTTGGTACTTTACATCTTTCTGGTGTTCTACAGCTGTTTTGTTACATTACATTTTGATGTGTTTCTTTCTTTTCAGGTGACCTTCGAAATGACTTATATCTTACCCTTCACTCTGGAGAATTTGAGAAAGGTGAGTATACCAAGACCAAATGAGAATTACTTGTTAAAAATTCAGATTATGGCCAAAATTTAAGGAGTGGAGAAACAAGATAAACCTGAATGGCCTTTCGTTGTCAAAAACCTGTATAATTGTTAGTGTTGGAGAATGCAAAATGGATGACATTGCAACCAGTAAAAACCTCTACTTACCAGTTGCTCATTGTTGATCATATCGCCAATGATCTGATGCTTTGAACCTCCCAGTTTTTCAACAGGTTCAAGAAAATTGTTTTTCAGTTATCTTATCTTGAGTTCTTTCACAAATGGTGGAAAGTCATGTAAACTTAACATTTAATGCTCTTACAGGTAAAAAGACAGCATATAAGAACATCGAGGTCACAATGCATGTTCTGTCAGATGATGGCACAACTCTTGAGGTAATCACTCATCAGTACCAAAGATTGTATTCATCATGAAACATAAACTTAAAAAATAAACACTTAAAAAATGTGCAAGCACTATATAACTTAGTGTCTATGTTTTTGCTTTGATGAGCAGAAAATAGCATTTATTTTTCAAGACAACTGTGATAAACAATGTCAGTGCTGGTATTCATTACATTGATGTTGTGATGCTTGCTTCTTTTGGTCAGCTTTGATTGTTTCTACCATACACTGAACAGATACAATGTATAATGGTAATAAGACCAATCCAGTCTGTACGAGTGATTAACAAAATTGGATGACCACAAGTAGGAGTCTGATTTGTTGATCATGAGTATGATTACCGACAGAATTGGATGACACAAAGTCCTGTTACCAATTAATCATAACTGTTACAATTTCCGAAGAAAACAAATACATTTAGGACAAACATCTGCAGTATAGACAATGTAAAAAATTCCTCCATTTTGGAAATTCCCCATTTTTTTTCTAAGGATAGTTGGTTGTTGCTTTGGTTATTGTGATCAATACTGTGATTGGTAGACTTAGCTGAGTAGACTAAGTATGATTGGCTGCTTCAACTGTCTAATTACAGGTGTCCGATCATAGCCAACTGTCCAATTACTGTCGGATTTCAACTGTACCAAATGATTAGTGAAGAATATAGCAGCTAATGTACCAATCATATTTGAGAAACTGTAATGGTTATGATTAAGAACCCTTAAACAGTCTGTTGTCCTGTCCACATGCTCAACTCTAAACGTTTCTTTTTCCCCAGATCGAGAGATTTAATAGATACATGCTGTAAGATTTTTTTGTTGTATGATTTATTAATGGCCTGAATTCCGTACATTTTTACAGCGTAAGCTAATACCTGCTACGTAAGTGTTGATTCACTTATAAATTAGATAAAAAAATAATGCTTACACTCCTTTCATACAGAATGTGATCTGCATTGGTGCTGGAGAGAATCCTGTCAGTGAATATCGTTCAGTTATATTTTACCATGTTGGGAAACCAGAATGGGTGGAGACTATTAAGGTAAGTATAGGAATTTACCCCAAATGGTCAGCCTTCAATAAGCGCGCAGACGTTTGACCGCTGAGTTGGATTGACCCAGCACTCAATAGAGGAGGAGTGGCTATGCTACTTGTTACTTCGTGCCTCGAGGACCAGCTCCGTTAGTTTGGGCACTGGCCTCGAATAGAGTAGCTTGATATTCCTCAATTGTAGCTTTCCCTGTGTAATTTTTATTTATTTGTATTTCAGTTGGTCATTCCGATCGAACAGTTCCAAAATTCACACGTCAGGATTATGTTTAAACACAGGTCTGCCAACGAAGGTACATACATGTAACGTGATATAATTACTAATAAAGTTCTTCTGTCTCTAAATTTAGCTTAACCTCTTTCCATTCAACATACCATACAACTTGTCAATGATAACTGTATTTTCCTTGTCATTCTTACCGATAAGACTGCTAAACCTGAAACTCTGAGGGTCCGTTTTCACCTAAATCCCCATAATTTCCTTTTAAAAGGTGTAGGATAATTTTGATAATGGTGTTACTTATGTTACCTTTGTACATGTTTGCACATTATCTCAAAACAGAGAGAGACAGAACTCAAAAGTGCTTTGCCTTTTCACATACACGGCTCATGTATAATGACGGGACTACTCTTCAGGATGGTACACACGAGCTTTTGGTCTACAAGGTCAGGGAAGATGCTCTTGTTACTAAAGCTCTTCGGTTTTTTTTCTTTATTCATTCCTCGCTTTTTGTTAATTCCCCCTGTACCGTACCTGAATTTCTAGAATTGTTATGAAAACTATACATGTATCTTAAGGGAGAAGCCAGAGTTTAAAGCTGGAAGGATATTGATTGATAAAGGGTAATTTGGTTTTATCAACTGAGTTTTGCGAATTCACTTTGACAAAAAACTTGACTTGAAAAAAAACTCCACTTGAAACGTTAGCTTTAGAAACTTTTTACGATGACCAATTTATGCTATCAATTAAGTTGATAAACGTATTATCTTGTCGACGCAGCACCGCAGTTTCTTTAGGAATGTACCCTTTATTTGTGTGGTCTGATAAACCTGTTTAATGACCTGTGATGATACAGACATGTGTAGAAATAGCTTTGGGTAGAGTATTGTCCACGCTGTATTCAGTTGTCCATGAACTGAAAAGAAAGAATGATCTGTTGCATCCAGCCTCGTTCTCGCTCAATTCTTCTTCACTAAGAGGCTTCCGTGTGGGAGAATGGTGTAACTCCCAAAGAGAGGCTCTAGAAGGAAGTAGATTAGCTTGTTCGTGA